ATTATGACACATACGTCTACTCCCTTTCCCACATGTCGCCTCATTCGGTTAAGTAGGTATGATCATATTCCATTTTTTCCCGTCCAATTTTAGGTTGCTGATGGGCTTGAGATCTTGGTGGTGACGGTGTCAGAAACTGGTACGAAGTTGAAGCTGCAGGAGGCTTTTGGGGGTAAGGCGCTGGCCGTGTCATCGATTCTTGAGAATGAGCTTCAATGACAGTTCGCTGACCAGATTCGGGAGGTAAGTCAAGTAGATGACCCGGTGGCGATGATCCGGATTTGAATCGTGTGGATGATGGATTCGGTTCGTCAGAATGATAATGAGCAGCGTCAGAGGAATGTTCGACATATTTTGGATTCAGATGCGAAGAGACATTGATCTTGCTTGTCTCTGGAGATCCTGACGAGGGGAGATGGTTGGTTGTATCATGGTTTTGAGATGTTTGGTAGGCAAGCTGCGTTATAAGGGTATGCTGTGTTTGAGTATTCGCCTGAGGTTCATGGTTTACTTGTTGGACTGGTCCATCAAGCTCTATTCCACGCGTGTGATTGGTCGTATTCGCTTGAGGCTGTGATGAAGAGTCATTCTCTGAAGTTGCGCTATGGTCTTTGGACCATGTACGAGGACGCTTACAGTCCGAAACCTCAGGGTCATTGAATATGTGACGACGTTTTTGAGGAGAAATACGTTGTATTTGAGAACTGTCGTCCTGCGGTGGTTGACGGAAACGCTTACGCGGGGTTTCCTCGTGATGACGTGCCGGGTAAGGTCGCTTCCGAGGGACCATTGGGCTCCCTTCCGTAAGGGATTCAGGTGAAGTCGAAGAGTTTGAGAGGAAGAGGCTGGCCGAATGATGATCCGTTGACAAATGATAGGGTAATTTCGCGATTTTGTGTCTTGCACTGGGGAGACATGGAGCTCCAGGGGTGATAAGGGACGGATTGTAAGAATCAAAAGGTTCTGGCGCTGGCTGTCCATGGGCCACATTGATCAGAGGCGGGGGCGAGCCAACAAGTTGTTCGAGCTCTTCAAAGAGTTCCGAAAGCGTATCTTTCTCACCAACTTGACCTGTGAATCAAACATATGAAATTGCAGTGAGTAAATGAGATTGCAGTGAGTAACATGGTAAGTCAAGATGAATACGGGCTGTGTGTGCTGACAATCGCTTTTGGCGTCCACAACGGATTCGTCAATGAGGGTATCCAGGACTGGGTCTGGACCTAAGAAAAGCTTGAAAATCAGATCCTATAATGTATGTCAAATCCTTGTGAGTAGAAGCTAACCATTAATCGAGGTTGAAGTTGTGCTTGCTGAAGTCTTAGTGATTGGTTCATATTTGGTGTCTAGATGGTTGAGGTGGCCTGGAGAAAAGTAGACTTGCTTAGCAGTTAGCAAAACTCCACATGTATCCCCTCAGAACATCGAAATGACTCACCTGGATCTGTTGGTGACATATCGGAAGCCATGAGGACAAAAGAACACCGGTGCGAAAGAATGATCAGAGTCCAAGGGTGAAGTTGGGAGAACGAGCTATGTACCTGACACAAGATCGTGAAGATGAAGTAAGATTTGAAGTTAGACACGATCCATCTAGTATACTTGAAGGACCCGATAACGTAGTTTATGACTGCAAATCAACACAAAGAAAACTCTTGAAAAGGACACAAGTCCGCGTCAAAGAAAACAAGATGAAAGTCATCACCGCCCGATCATGACCCCTTGTTTGCTCTACATATGAGTGAAAACAAGCTGACCTTTGATCGTTTGTTAAAGAAGTTGATCACGGGTGGACGTCAAACGTCGGCCATAGCTACACCACACTGCCTTTATTTCTATATCACAAGAGGACTTGCATGGAGCTTGCATGGACATAACCTCTTCAAAATCTTTTGAGTCTGTTTCTGTCAATGGTACTCCTTTCATTGCTCATGTAGGATTGTTATCTAGCTTTTGGCGTACTTAATTCGTGATTGATCTTCTTGGAGAGGAGCTCTTCATCTATTTGAGCTTTCTTTTTGTAACCAAAATCTCCTTCCAACCTATTTCTTCCTTGACTTGACTTCCAGGAGAAGTCATCTTCATCCGACTTACAGTTATTTTATTTTAGATACTTCATCTTTTTTTATCTTCCCAGCGAAGACATTTTATATCTTAATCTGAATTCATTTTGGATACTCTTTTTTTATCTTTCCGGCAAAGACCTTTTACATCTTAATCTGACTTCATTTTGAATACTTCATCTTTTTTGTATCTTCCTGGCGAAGACTTATAAATTTTTATAACTTTAGGGTTATTGTGCGTTTTCAATTGATCATATCCGAACGCAACGACCACATCTCAACGTCACATTCACTGAAAGAATCAAGAGTATGGTGGCTCCCAAACGTGAGTTTGTATCCATTGTGTATTTGTGGAATATCTCTGCCGGTCAACTTTGCTTATGGGCTCTTTATGCTTGCTTGAAAAGCGTTTCTCAATCGGCCTATGCACTTTCAAGACGGCGCTGGAGTCAGTTCTGTGAAAGCTCAAAATCGAGAAGTTGCTGAATGGTTACCTCAGCGCAACTCCGCCTCTTATCAAGCCATAACCGATTACTTGAAATTTCTGCTTGGCAAATTCAATTCTCGCACCCCCTATCCCGCTAGTCCAGAGTCTTTTGAACTCGATGTACTACCTCAGTTGTCTTCAGAAACTATCATGGCTGATTTGAGTGTTTTCGCCAACGATCTACCGCCGCCTAGTCCATCCCAACAAACAATAAAACTCTTACCCCGGCAAGATTCTGGTTGGTTCAGATATAGGAGCTTCTTTCTTCAAGATCTTACCCGATTCTCGATCCCTCGTGCCACTCTTGCTTGGGAGTCACCTGTAAGCTGTCCTTGGAACCAGATCATGCTGGTGTTCTTAATGAAGCACTGGAGATGGGCTATGGCGCAAGGGGTCTTCTCTCGATACCATCCTGATCCTAGATTCTCCACCGATGACATATGTAGAGCTGTCATGGAGAGATGGATTCGAGGAAGAGTTGGTCAAGATGATAAATATCGCAACCGAAAAAAGAAAAACCAGAGAAGGGCTACAGTATGTCCCCCTCCCAACAATTTCTTCTCTTCTTTTCATTTACTGAGATATGTTCCCAGATTTTTCGTTACCGCCAAGATGCATTAGAAGAGTTTCTTGAATTGGAGGATAGAGACCTACTTCCTTCTGCTCTGAGTTTACTTCCAAGTGCTACATGTTGCTCGGATACCGAGGACGATGGACCTGGTAAAACTCGCGCCGTAGGTATGGTTTGGAGAAGTCAGGAATTCTCCGAATTTATGTATTTGCTTGATCAACTTTCCTTCAAACAACAAAAGGCTTTGCACGGCTCAAGATGGGCGGCTGGCCGGCTTGACATGAGAAGATCTCGACCAATCAAGATCTCATCTCAAGGTAAAGCTCCTCGAAACCTTCCTTCAAATTGTTACTGTCCTGTTTGGAGGAATGGATTCGGAGAAACTCATCAACGGCTCCTTACTCAAAAAGCTGCCAGCCCTACTCTCACTCTGCTGATTGAAAAAATACGTCAATCACTTGTTTGAATTCATCTTGAATTCGTGATTTTACATAACTTGATTAGCACAGCTGATATTCATGTATTTTTATCAAAATCACATTCCTTATTGATACCACTTGGAACTACACAAAATCTTATCTTTCAAGACATCTGAAATATCTAAGTGTTAGTTTGACTTTGAATCACACGACCTAAAGATTCTCAAAGTCATTAAAAGGATCTTGAGCCTTGAACTGATAACAGGCCGGGCCCTGAAGTGGGTATGAAGAATTGTGATATTTGATGAGCACAATGGGTTGGATGATCCTCAGCGGGTTTCTTTGAGTTCTCCGCAGTGAATTTAGTGGTCCTATTGATTAATGGATGTTGGATAATCCGTTGTGTCCTCTATGAAGCCTGCTATCTCTTTGCAAAGTCACTAAACTTGATGGTACTTCTCAAATGTGGTTTTCTCATCTTGAAATATATATATTAGTCTCACTCATCTTCAATGTACCAGTGCTTGCTCCTAAGAAAGAGTCTACAAACTCAGTGACAAGTCAAATAGGCTACGGATTGCAAGACTAAATACAAACTTGGTGGGGGTGAATGATAATAAAATACAGAGGAGGGTTAATCAAGAGAAGTGTTTGTATATCTAAATAGTGAGATTAACTACAAAAAGATAATAAAGGAGGAGACAAAAAAATTATAAGCGCCCAAGGCTTGAGAGACTAGCCATCATCTGCTCCTCAATCAAAGGGTCAAGCTTTTGCTGTTTCTTCAGTAATTTCAATCTTTTTTCAATCTCATCTGAATAATTGTTTACTCGCCTCTGTTTGAAATCCTCCCAAACCTCATCACTCATGTTGTCTTTTTCCTTGCGCATACCCCGGATTCTATCAACTATAGTTTTTGAGACCTGGATTGAGGATCCGAAATTGGTCAGATTGGCCTGTTGGGGAGATACTCGTTTGCCAGAAGAGTCAAGGGTTTGAGAGTGTGAGCTGTGGTGGTAGGTTTTTGTGTTCCACACAATGATTTTTGGATGATGACTTAAGCGAATCTTGGTGTTGTAGTTGTCGAGATGAAAGTATGCTCCTTCGATGTGATACGGAGCGGGGTTTTTAGTTTCCTGGGGATAAATTACTTTACCTGAGTCGCGTTCCATAAGACAAAAAAGCCCAATGGCACAGCCGGATTCGTCTAGATCGGGATGTGAGGCATTGGCAAATTCGTCTCTAGTGATCACAAGATTGGAACCGCAACTGGATTGGGAGACACTATTAAAGAATTTTGCGGATGCCCAAGAAACACCGTACTGTTGTGCGAGTTGGAGATTGGCTTTAAATTGAGATAGTACAAGGTATGAGAATAAATCTGAGATAAACTTGTCTACATCAGGCATGATTTTCATTCTGTCAATGTCTTGCTTAATGAGTTGGGGATGACTACGAGTGCGTATGTTCAATACATACGCGCCTGTGATGAATGGGATGATGAGAAAAAACAAAAAAAACAGTTGAGATTCATTTCAATGCAGATTTAAACACAAAGGAACATACCACCAGATTTGCCAGCGTCACTAGCACCACGAGACCCTACGGGATACATTTCACCACTCATCGCCGCTCCTAAGGCTTTTGCAGCTTTGTTTGTTGAACACTTTCGACGTGCAAGGCCATGGTGATACAGAAGTTGAACTGCCCAGTCGAATTTGTCTTTAAGGTTTTTGTTCTTCTCATCGTCAGGATGAAGGGTGTAGATGGAGGCAATGAATTCGCCAGTCAAGGCATCAACAAGAATGACGTGCCCAAAATAGATCTCGCGTTCTTTGAGGTCACGACGATTTGGATGGATCCGAATGACTTTGGCTGTGCTTGGCGCACCGTGCTGGTCTTGTACAATAGCTCGACGGAAGTGGGCACGTAGGTCTTTCTTGGCCAGCCGCTTCTCAACCTGTTTGCGAGCTAGTGCAGATTGCGCGGAAGGATTTTTTGCCATCTGTGATGAAGTAGTCAATGTTAGTATATGAGATGACGAATGAATATGATGGTGATAAGACGTGTGAGACTGAGTTCGAACCGCTTGAAAGATTTCCTGGGTGTACAGAAGTACTAAAGGAAAAATTCCAAAGCGTCAAAGGTGGTAATGTTGAAGTGAGGGTGAAATCGAACCGCTTGAAAGATTTCCTAGGCGTACGGAAGTACTAAAGGAAAACTTTCAAAGCGGCGAAGATGGTGATGTTGAATTCGAACCGCTTGAAAGATTTCCTAGGCGTACGGAAGTACTAAAGGAAAACGTTCAAAGCGGCAAAGATGGCGATGTCGAATTTGAACCGCTTGAAAGATTTCCTAGGTGTACGGAAGTACTAAAGGAAAACTTTCAAGGCGGCAAAGATGGTGATGTCCAATGCGGCCCTCTCGAAAGGTTTCCTAAGCTTGGCGGCGAAAAGGGAACAACAAAGAAGATCACTAACCTGGAAAGAAAAAAAATGGTGAGTCAGTTGGTTAGAATGCTAAGGTTTGATAGAAGTGATTTACCTTGAATTTGTTGAGGATACACCCAGATGAAGGTCTGATACGATGAATAGTGTGTTGTAAGACGAATAACAGTTCTTTGATTGAGAGCGATATTGATTTCAAATGGATTTGAAAGATCGATAGTGAGTTGTTGGTTTCTGGGGACACGATAACTGGGCTTAGAAGTAGCAAAAGGCTATGAAGACGTTTGAAAGGATTTGAGTTGGTGGATTTTTTAAATAATGCAAAAGTGCAAGGAGATAATACCAGAAGAAAGACTCAGAGGCCTAAAGAAAAAGTTGGAAAGGGAATTTAACGAAGTTGGAAAGGGAAATTGATGAAGTTGGAGAGGGAATTTAACGACATTGGAAAAGGAAATTTGACGAAGTTGGAAAAGGAAATGTGACGAAGTTGGAAAAGGAAATTTGACGAGTTTGGAAAAGAAAATTCTCTCAGACTTGTATGCCTGGGTCCCTCACAACCAGTTACAGAATAATTAGCTGGTTTCAATCCTGTGCTAGTAGTACCAATTCAATAAGGACCAGGCGCACTTTGCCCAGATTTTTGCTCGTTATTAGCAGTTTTCCAACTTTTAAAGTCGTTTTTGACTTTGGGATCTGCGGAACGGTTCAGTCAAAGTGCGAGTGACATGCTACAGAATGTCACTTGCTTACCTATATAAAGACATGCCCGATGTTGGAGATGTCCGATGAATGACACGGTACTAGTAGACCACGGCCTGAATGCTGAGCTTGGCTCAAACATTTTGAGTAGCAATGATCCCTCCAACTCAAATCTCACCAAAAAGCTGTCGATCTCGACAAAATGGAACAGCACCCTTTATTATCGATGTATTTCAAGAGCTATCTGACTGAGGAGAGCGGATAACATAGTCGGACCAACATATCATTCCAGTATCTATAGTATAGATGCAATACCACACCCGGGACCTTTCACAGAAAAGGACTCCCAAAACCCATGGCTCTTTGCTGTGATTTAACCTTACAAAGTTCATGCAGACAAGAAACTTTGGACAGAAGTGCAAAAGAAACCACTTCCAAATGGCCAAAAATCTGAATGTTAGAAGATGATGATCTCAGATAGCGAGAAAACCAGAAGGTCCAGAATTCAGCCTTTTTGTTTCTTCACTATGCAGTGTGAGGCATCCGGAGTAAGACGTAGAGGACCATCATACACTCATGATAGATGAATGGATGATGTCGTGCCTCACTCCGAGTATCTTGCTAATCGGACTGTGCGCGGCGTCTCAAACGAATTAATGATGCAATTCCGAGACGAGAAAGTGAACAAACATGAAAAACGACGCAGTTTAGTAACAAGAAAGCCGGGAAATTTGCGCCTGGTCTCTAATCTGGTCCTGGATTTTTATCTAAATTGAAAATTCAGACTGGACTGAACTTAAGTCAGAATCATCTGTTTGAATCAATATCTTCTGCTTGCCAAAGTGAATCTTTCTTAAACCCTACAAACGGAAAAAAGGAAAACACTCTCAGTCCTCTTCTATTCAAGCCCACTAGGAAACCCAATTGAATCACTCACAAATTCCAAAATTCCAATCTAAGACTGGAATGAATGGAAACGGTTTTTGACCAGGTCTTTGTGAAAGAGCCAAGAAATAAGCAATATCTTTAGACACCAAGATTTGAGTTTTAGCTTCAGGATATCAATTAAAGAATCGGATCAAGAATTCATGTGGTAAATCTAATTCTGAGTAAAACTGAAGTTCTGAAACTTTATCCGCTCCATTCACTTCTGATAATCTTTCTTCAATTCGTCTTGAACCTATCAGAAACCAAATCAAAGATGAATTTCATCAATTTTCAAAAAAAGAGCAAGTTGTATGTCAAAAGGTTACTAACCATCTCCAACTGAACAAACATCAATCATACCAATCAATTCACTGTTTCTTCATATGTCATATCTCCTAATTCAGCTGGCTGTCCATCTTTCTCAGCAAACCAAGGCTTCTGAAAATCCGCATTCAATCTAGAGATAACGTAATCTTTATGTGAATTGAGCCAAGCTGCTTGTTTTTCACGTGGAAGTGCAAACACAGTCCTTTTACACACAAGAAAAGCATTAGTGTACAATCTCTAAAATGCAAACTCGTTGAGAAATGAATCATCAAAAGACAAATGAAAACTTAGTCGTCAAATTCTTTCCAAAGTTCAATACCCCGAGTAGCGATCTTATGAATTGGTTCACCAAGTTCAGAAGTAACGGTAATAATCCCCCCCGTTTCACGTTCATAAGTCCCTTCCCATTTCTCATCAGTCACCCCAGCAGCTTGATGACTTGTAGCCGCTTCTTTAGCCACCATCATTCGACTTGCAAACAACACTCCATCAAACGGCATTTTCTCCACTCCGAATTTCGTTTTAGACCATTCACCTGTCAAGTAAGGATATACATCTGTTGCACTACCAAATCCTGATCCAGCTACTAAGATTAAATTCTTTTGAGCTCGGATGGATGCATAGGTAGCCAAGATTGGTTGATGGAAATCTTCACAACTATGATGTCCTCCTGCTCTTCCACCAGTCCATTGAAAACTCACAGGGAAGTCCAGGTTCAAAGCAGCAATGTGGACGAGTTGTCGGATTCCATCTACCAAACCAGCTTTGAAACTGACATGTTTAATACCAGCTTCACGTAATCCATTACAGCTGCGACTAAAAATCCTCCAATTGGAAGCCCTTCTTTTCGCATTTGAAGCCAGAGTGGAAATTGGAAGGCCCACTGCCTTTGATTGATGTAGAGAGTGTTACAATATTTGGCCCAAATATTGCCTGGTCCTCACAACTTGGCTTTGAGCCAGCTCACACAATAATGATCTTTTGTGTTTGCAATGTATCTGTAAAGATAGCTAAGAAGATGGTTTCCTACAAAAATTTGACATTTTACAAAACATGTAAAACTGGTACAAAAAAGTTCGAGAGCTTTCCTCACATGATGTTGGGCTACTTTCAAGGGGGTTATTGGCCTTGCAATTTTTTTCATTTCTTTTGCCAACTGAGTGGTCTTCAACAAATTGAGTCACCCTAAGGTAGATAGGTGTATACTAATATGACCAGTGCGGCCCCTGCCGCCCTGATGACTAGTATACTTGTACTCATGACTTGATACTTGCCCGGTTATTTGAGGCCTATAAGCATCACCATTCTACCGTGCTGTCTGCATGAATGGAAATCTGGCCAACAGTGGTCAGATTAATCACTGAGAGCAAGTCGATTAAAGAGGAATAAAAAGCTTACTATGTTCCTCAGCCCCACTATACCTAGTGTCTCCTGTGCAATACCGAGGTGACCAGCTGGATAGGGCAACACAATGATGTGGCCTATAAGGTCTTGGACATCGACGACTACCGTACATTCTATATTTGAGTATACCGTGGCGGCCTGCAGGCGGGGATGAGATGAAAAGCAATCCCGTGTTGAATCGCTTACGTTCAGCGGGGTGAATTGGTCCACCACTAAGAACACCGTTGGGACTAGCTTTGTTCGAAACGCGTATTGTAAGTATCCAAAACGTTTTTGCCCCTGGATGCAATATTCTATTGCACTGTTACCCTTGCCTTTAACACGGTGATTTGAGGTATAATTTTTCCCACAGATCTTAAGTAATTTGGTGGTTTCCACGGTGTTGGGTAGACTAGAGCTGCCATTTAAAAAGCTATTAGAGTTAGAGAAATTGCCATAACGTTGATTCAACTGCGAATTCAGATAGTTGAGCCAAATATCATAAGTATCACCGTTGAGGCTGGTCTCCTTGGACCATTTTGTCTTTGGTGTCTCCGTGAGGTCTTGGATCACCTCTTGCCGAATTCTTACATCGACACGACCTAGGAAGGTAGGACATCCATTTAAGACTGCCTTGAATAATCCTCGCCGAGTGTAGGTCTCTGACATTGTTTTGTCTATGTCCGCTATAGTTACAACAATTGATAGATAGATTAGCGTCAATAGACACTGATGAGAATAGAATGGAAATCATACCTGCATGATGGTTTTTAGAGGTTTTACTGAGCATGCCTATCACACGCTCACCAACCATTGTGCCAGTGTACGCTGGAGGACCAAAGAGCTCAGTGATACCGGCTAGATGCTGCAAGAAGTGTAGATTCGGTTTTATACTGACACCCTTCCAAAAAGAGCCCAGATGTGCACGATAGCTAAGCACCAAACTTTCGAGATCTTCCTTATCCTTTTTGGAGAATGTTCGAGAAAGGGAACAGTTAGTGATCTCCACCAGGTATATCAGACTCTGACATAGATTCTGGTCTTTTTCATCATTTGAGAAGTAGAGTTTAGGGATGATGGCAAGGACTAAATAAACCGTGTAGAAAGTGAGCCACTCCATTGCACTGGGATTACCAGACTTTGGAGTTCCAATCTTTATTGGAGGCCGAGTCATCCATGTTGGAGTTTTAGCCGTTGAAATCGCAGCTCGGATCTCAATTAGATCATCCATTGTTAGTGATGGATTTTCATTTATGGGGTCAGCTTGACATTCATTTTGCTTCGAAGGCGTTGAGGCAGAAGTCGTGCCTTTGTTCTTTCCTTTTCTCTTCGAGGGTTGAGCAGAAGCGCGAACCGTGATGTTGGAGCCGCTTCGCAAGCGACCAGTGATGACCTTTTCATGTACCGGTATACCAACAGTCTGGATCCTTGTGGTACTTTGTGACCGAATGCGATTGGACCGCCGTAGATCAGAGCGCTGCAAGTTGGAGTCTTCCAATGGTGTGATTGAGATGATATTGGTGGGAGCCATAGACGTTGAGGCGCCTTGTGCCTCAAGTTGAACTGAGGGCTGTACTTCGGGTGTCTCAGAAGTCAGGAGTGGGACAGGGCTCCGGATGGAAGCAGCTGTTTTTTGTCTTTTGGCATCGCTGTTTTGACTGCCACGTGGTCGGCCGCGTTTCCTGGGTACAATTATTGGGGACTGTTGTTTGATGACTTGACTAGAAGATGGAGAGGGTTGGATCAAGCTTTCTGGATCGGTCACTGATTGTGAGGACAATACGTTGCTCTGTTCTTCGGCAATTGAACTAGAATTGGCACGATTTGAACTTGCAGCATCATTGGAATTGTAGGTGCTTGACCATTCCATTGAGAAATTTTCACTTTGATCACTCGAATGTTCCATATGGGTGCTGGTATCTCCTGAGACAGCCGAGTTTGATGTACCAGACTAAGACAAAGATAGATAAGTAGGGTCCAATCAGTTTTTTTTTCTTCTCACGAAGACCCTTTAGTGAATCAAAAGAAAGTACATCACATTGAAGTTGTTGGAGGAACAAGCTTGTGCAATCAGCGGATGGCCTATATTTAGATGAGCTTCAGTGTCAAGCTTGTCTTTGAGCTTTTTCCCTGCTTGACCAAGTCCTATGAAGCTAAATGCATGGTCCTTCAATGTTCCAAGGAGCAAACAGTGCATCACGTCAATGGTGATGAATTCGATGGGTTTCCAATAGGGAAGTTCAGAGAGAACTGTATATCGAACCCCGTGAGCATCGAATATCTTCTTTTGTTTCTGTTCGGTGAATGCATCCCTCCACTCCTCAGCGTGTTTTTGATGCTCGTGTTTTCCTGGCCATTGATCAGGGTCAACAATGTTTCGATCATCACGCAGAAGACCACAGTGTGCGCAGAAGTGCGTTGCCGAGTGTGAAGCAAAGCCAGCAACTTTTCGCATGGCTGGGAGGTCCGCTATAAGTGGCCATAGTGCAACACGTATGACACGTCCTTTGGGATGATCCGCGGTTGCCGTGAGAAAGATGCCTCTCCAAAGCTGTTGGAGTTCAGCCACGAGCGGCTTCAAGATTTCGTTCATTTGTTCAAGAGCCGGTTCGCTAGGTCCAGGAATCACACCAAAAAGAAAGAGATTCTCTTGCTTGTATCATATGTCTGGTGGCAAATTGAAACAGATGAGGAGAATGATGCCGTGTGATATTGATTTTCGAGAACCTCGGCCATGAGGATTAAACCAATCCACAAACAAACCAAAGACAATATTACCGCTTTGTGATGTGAACGGTCTTCCTGAGTTGCCAAAAGATCTCCACATCTCACCATCCCACATGTCACGCATTGTTTCACCATCATACTGATGCTGCAACGGAGCGTCCAGAGCCGCTTCAAACCCGGGAATACTTAGCATCCTAGCCAGCCACTTTTGAAGAGAGTGGTAATGAAATTGTCGGAATGGCGTGGGAACATCGCCCGAATAGAGAGCTCTTCCGCAGGCATGACGAGTGATTGGTGTACCCCGAGCCGCATGAGGTTCTCGCAAAAACCGTGAAGCATCACACATCGTCTTGCAAGTGTCGTCAATCTTTTTGACCGGTGCGCCATGGAGGGCGAAACATTCTGGGCAACAGATCTGCGACTCGAGGCTGACATCGAGGTTCAGCATGGTGTACAACGTGGGCAGAGTGACCGGTAAGTTCTCCCAGTAAGGACGCCCGGTATGATTCAAGTCTTTTGCCGTTTGTTCTATCTGTCGCTTGTTGAAGTGCAGTAAACTCCGGCAGGCTCGATGTTTGACACCTTTAACAATACTGGCGTGTGCGACCTGAAGCATTCCAAGAAGACATGACGGTCGCTGAAGGTAGACCTGCGGGATCTGGAAGGCCTCTGTTGAAACAGTTTCAATGATATAGTCCTGCTTGAGAGTCTTTGGGTCATTTGTTCTTCGGATCGTTTGCGAGCTGCTTCGACGCCTTCGCGCTCCAGGCACATTTGAAGCCAGTTCTGAAAGCTGTTGACCTTGACCGGTGGAAGACCTCTGAGATCTGATGGTGCCCAGGTGACCAGTACTCAGAGACCTTTGGCGCACCTAGAACAGATAAAATGATCAATCATCCATGAGCTTAAAGACAATGAATAGCAAGATACATACCACAATATTTGTGGCAACGGGGACAGACAAGTTACCAGATTGAGAACCTTGGTGAGATTGCAGTGGTATTGATACGTTCTCTGTTGTCCGTGTCAAGCGAAGCCTTCGCAGTTTGTCTTCGTGGTACCGGCCGTTTTGCTTCGTTCTGACTTTCCCTTGATGAAGAACCCCGTCGAGTAGAAAACTTTCAGCCACGCAGCCAAACTCTTCACAGCAGCAAATGTGTTGTGGCATCACGATGGCAAACCAAAGTTAATGGGTCAAGAAGGAATTCAATTGTATGTAGGGATAAGGGACAAAACGGAAGTTGATCAAATCATCTTGAGTGGGATGTCTTTTTAGGCAAATAACAACTCACATTCTGAAGTCCTCTGAAATATATTTGTCAAAACAGTGCATCACGTGACGCTCGAATATGACATTCAAAACTCAAAGCAGACCAGTCTAGCACGCTTACTATCACGTCTTTCACCTACTCTCTGATAGCAAGTCAGCAAAAATTGTTGCGGAAGGGAACAATGTTTATGAATTTCTCGCGCGAATGATGCATACTTGGTTTCTGAGTTGTTAGACTATATATTTTACATGACTAACTAACCAATTGGATTGAGGCGAAAACTATATACATGTGTAATCCATGACTTTGACTTGGAGATATAAGAGGAAAAATTGAATACAGAGAAAGAATTGAAAACATTGAAAACATTGATCTTAAATTGGAATGGATAATTTGCGTGTCTAAGTGAAAGAAAAACCTTTGTATCATCTTGCTTTCATCTTGCTTCTTGAAACATAATATCTACATAAAATTGATCTTAAAGTAAAATGAAGGACTTGCGTCTCTAAGTCAAATGAACACTCTGTATAAAAAGTTCAATGAGTATCCAAAGTACAATGAATGGTGAGTAAGTGAACGGGAACGTGGGCAATGAAGAAAGTACAAGAAGATACTGACCTTCTAGATCCCATAGTAGGCACCGTATTGGAGGACAACATGATCTTCAAAAATCTCGACAATTTCTGCTTTGAGAGCGTCACAGGGGATGTGCTGATTTGGCTTGAAGTGCCAGATGATTTGTCGCAGACGATCTCGAGTGGTCCAATCAATAAGCCAACCGGGCGAGAGGTAGCGGAGAAGATTGGGAGGTAAGGTCCAGATCTTGGACCAGAAATCCCAATCTTCATTAACGGAGGGAAGTGGACGTCTATGGCGTGGTGGGTTTCTGAGTTCGGCACGTCGAGCAATTCTTGAAGATCGACGGCGCCGGGGCAGAGCTTGTGGTTGTGCTATTGGAACTGGATGACCGCGTCGACAAGGTGGCTCTTCCAAAGCCAAGTTTTCTATTGGCAGATGTTCTACCTCCTGATCATCTACCATTGGGCCTTCTGCCTCCAATTCAATATCACTTGCATTTGCTTCTACCTCAGCACCGGTGATCTCATTGGGAAGTTGAGCTGGGGTTGAGCGACCGCGTCTTATATTTGTGGTGGTGATGGAAGAGTTTTTCGCCATGGTGAGGTTGCCGTAGATCTTGATGGACATAATTTGAGATGGAACTATTGAAACAATCACAGTTCAGCAATCAACAAGGAACTTAGATATAAAGATAGGTTTGACGTACCCGTGAAGAGAAGAGTAAAAAACGTTATATCGATTTGAGAAGTGGCGTGATTCGTATTCAAGTTTAAGCAACTCGTGGCTTTAAATATGAAAATCACTTACCAGAATCAGAGCCTTCTGATAACGAAAAGCTTGCCGGACGGAGGAGATTATTCCTTACAACATCTTTCATTGAGCTTGCAGAAGGTATTCAAAGGCGGAGACAAAGGAGACAGCCCATCGGAGAGACAATCGTGTTCTGAACCATCTCGATGCACGGTGAAAGCGATCTTAGGCGATGTTTTAGGAATTATCTAGATCGAGGCGGTTGTCTGGATGAACGGGGTGAGTCAGTCGAAATTGGATGAAGGTGATCTCAGAACAGATACGATCATCTTGAAGAATGGGAACATCGGGCACAAGGTCATAGGGGAAGTCAAACACTAAAGTCTGACAATGAACGGAAAGATATGGTCGCCGGTGGGATGATTCGAGGAAAGGGAAATTGGAATGGAAGGAAGGTCTTGTACAGTGTGCGCTGCTTTCACTTTGCGTCACGTAAAGTAGATTAGGTTGATTTATTAAATTCTGTACAATCAGTACAATCATGGATTCACGTTTCAACAGTAATACAGTAAAATAGTAGGATATCTCACATGCCCCAAACAACTCTGTTTGGTCAGTATAAGGATAGTGCTCGTTAATCAAGGATCTTCAAAAAATGATCAGATAGAACTACACATACATACAATTTGAAGGATGAGTGATGGTAAAGATGGTACTTCAGGTGGTGTCCAGTCCACTCAGTGAGATGGCTTGAATATGACTGAGTTAAACACAGAAGTTGAAGCTGGCTCAGTGAGCAGTGGCTACTGCGAGGCTCAGTCATTCTAACATTGTAGAACAAAGACTGTACAAAAACCGAACATCTGCTGTAGGCAGAGCTCACCGGACGTCCGGCGCATTTATGGCGGACACGGTGTATAGCTAACAAGGTATGTAGATCCATCATCTGATGATTCTTCACTTGTTTGTGCATCTGGGATTATGATTGATTTGGTTCTACAATCTCTTTTGAATAGGTTTTATTGAAACATCCAGATTTAGTTTATCATTTATTTAATTTATATCCAACAATTTCTCAAATTCGATACTCTATCAATGGAAAATCAATCATCCCGTTCTTAAACCCAATCTTTTTACCCATCATACATTTAGGACAATTCATCATTTATCATTTCATACCTAAATTGATTTTAATCGTTTTAACATTGATTTTAAATTGGATTACCAAAACTACAAGTGACAAAAAATATCTTTCATATCATAGTTTAAATAAAACTATTGCAATGATTCATAATTTCAATTCGACGGCTGCTACATGGACTTTAGGTAGATCTCAAATGAAAGAAATCATCAAACTTGATCAAGATTGTATTTCGATTTATAAGGAAAAGATGACGATCTTTTGGAGTGAAGAAGATCAAGATTGGTGGATCCCTAAACCTGAAATCGATCGAATCATCAAATTACTAGAATCGACAACTTATCAGAACAACAGTGAAGTTGGAGTTCAAGAAGAGGTAAAAAAGAATTTGAAGAATGTACCACGATGGGAACGTTCGAATAATAATATACCTCACGCGTTTTGCTTGGGTAAGGATGATCTTTCAATTCGTATCTGTGATACAATTCTGTTGATTTTTTGCTAATGTTCAATTTCATTCAATTTTCACACATTTTCGTGATGTTTTCTTGATTGCCGGTTTTTCCGTGAACGTGACTTCAATCTTCGAAGAACACGGTGAAAGGATGGCTGACAAATGTGCTTCTTGGATCAAAACTTTATTATCCGAATCATAGAACGTCTAAGGTACCTCTTAAAGTACATTCTTCAGTAACAATCTGACTGATGTGATTCTTTACAAGATGCTTTTTGGTGGGTTTTGTGACAATGTTACCCAGAATCATTGAAGCATGTCGAGGATAATTATCTATATTTAACTTGTAAGTCAGTGTACCTTTGGTGGATCAAATAAATCTTAAGTTCTTGGTATACAACACACTCTGGGAGATACAATACCATCATCAACGGGGTAAAATCAAGCCTTCGTGATACGACTATGCTATAGAGAATTCAAAATGGCCATTATTGAGCTGTGCGACTCTCCTGATGGACAAGTTTGCTTTGGGATCCATGTTGAGCGTGATTCTCAATAGAGATTGGAACTTGATTCGCGAAAGATTCGCTTGATAGTGGTTATTTAGATGAATCTAGGCATTGCGATGTTTTGAATGCAGTATGGGATGTTTCTAAGCACAAGACTAAAACCAAAAGTTTACAGAAGTTGATAGAAACTCGCATAATTGAGTTTTACAATACTCGACGAACTTCAAGGTTTAATGTATAAGAGTGTCTCCACATCATATCTTTACAACAAATGGACATGAGACATCAAGTGTGAGTACTGCCAATCTAGGCAAACAAGTTTTATGAATCCAATGTTCTTGATGACACCAGAGTTGAACATAGCGTTCTCCAACACTGAAAGCCTGAATGCAGATAGGACACTTATCGTGTTCTTCTTTCTCAAACAAATCCGAACTTGACCGAGGTATTTGAGAGGATTGCGCCACAAGACGAGAAGTGTAGAGACTGGTCCATTCCTTGATACCACAGGTAGGACCAAGATTGATATCAAGGTCGAAAGCGAGTAATTTGATGAACTCAAGATGCAGATGTTTGAATTTCACCGCTTGAATCCACTTGTCAATCGCTGGCGCTCTTTTTCTCGCGGCCTTCTAGTTCTATTTAGTATGTTGGCCTCCGCATTTCTCAAAGCGAGGATGAATCAGGTAGGATTCGCTTAGCTTTGTTCAAAGTTATGGATCCTTGTCATATGCCATCTGAATGGATTGGATCGTGGTCAAGAGT